CCACAACCGCTCCCTGTACGCCATGAAGAAGGGCGGCAAGGTGGCCGTGGCGAAGTGCGTCACCGTGGAGCGCGGCCTCCGCTCCCGCTCCCCCCCCCCTTCGGCGCCTCCTCTGCGCGGCGCCAGCGTTGAACGCGCAGTTTTTGCGGCGCCGACCGTGTGGGCAGGGTGTCCCGCTGCAGGGGTCGTTCGGCCGTCCGCGCCAGGGCGCCCCACAACGCAAAAGAAAATGCGCTGGCGCACAAGCGCTTTCACTTTTTGGTCCCGTCCTCCCGGCGCGAGGGCGGGCATAGCGCGCAGAGCCCTCCGACCTTGCCGCGGCCAGGCGGCTCCTGCGGCCCAGCCCGCTGAGATCCGGTGCTCGTGTGAAGTCGGGCATGTCCCTGCACAGGAGGAACCTTCAAAGATTAGCAGAAAGTAGTGTGCGCATGTTTCAACTATTTTTGGAGATATGTGAGCATGTTTCTACGATCTTTCAGTTTTCCTCCAAAATCCGCTTCTAGGGGGAAATGCGCGGCCGAATGCTCGTCGGGCGTGGCGTCATGGGGGGAGGGGGTGCGGTCGGGCGGGGCGTGGGGGCGCCCCCGGGCCCCAAGATGTCAGTGTTCGCGCCGAAATGGGCGTTTGCAACACACGAATCTGACTCAGTTCGGAGGGCACCAACTATACACCAACACCGATCCTGGCCAGGATCACCCTGGGCCCAGGATCGGTGTATACGCCCTCCTGCCATGGGCAGGATGCATATGCACCGATCCTGGGCCCAGGATCGGCCTGGGCTGGATCGGTGTTGGTGTATAGTTGGTGCCCTCCGATCAGTGGGCCGCGTGTCGCGCGTCGACCAACATCGAAAACGGACGTTCGATTTCCAGGAGGGTCGTAGGACGAGGATATAAAACCGTTCCAGAGAGCGTTCCGGAACGGTCTGAGAAGGCTACGGCGCACGAGACGTCCTCCAGAGCCGTCGGATGTCAGGGATTCTCTATTTGTCCCCACCTGGTTCGATCCTCGTTCTGGCTTCGCCTTAGGTGAAGGAAGGAGCACCTTCTGCTCTCTGAAGTTATGATGTTCCAGCCCACTTTAGCCTGTACCGCCAGGAAGAATTTCGAGCACCAGGAGAGTACCGAAACTGGAGGGTTCTCTTGTGTCGGGCCCTGGAGGGCGATGCTTCCTTCGACGCTGCTTCGATGCTGTGCGGGGTGCTCGAAGTTAGTGCTGGCAACGCGGCCTTTACGACGGGAGCAGCCCAGCCCTGCAAAGGGGCCCTCCGGGGGGCCCCCGGGGGCCCGACAGGGGAACGGGGGGTGCGCGTTTCTCCGCCCCCCCATCCTCAGGAGGGGAAAGAAACACGCTTTTTGATCTGCGGGGCGAGCGCGAACCTCTTCCGTTAAAAGCTAGGCGGGCTACGCACAGCTTTAATTAGGGAGAGAGGGCACAGGAAGGCGGGGCCTCAGGCGGCAGGAGTAGGCGAAACCCAGGGGTGCAGGCGGTGCCGAAGTGGATGTGCAGGAGCAGGTTCGCCGCTGACAGGAGGGAAAGAAACACGCAGACACAATTAATCGTCGACTCCCAGGAAGATATGGGAAAAGACGGGAAGACAAGAAGCCCAGAAACTATGGGGAATCCTCTTGTTTGCGTGTCTTCACTTGTGTGTGCCCCACAGCCCCTTCACGTTCGTCGCCCCCCCTTTTTTACAACGCCCAAGCCCGCCAGCCGGGGCCGCGATTCCGCTTCGATGTTTCTGTCGGGCTCGGTTCTCGGCGAGGACCACCGAGGACCACCCTGGACCAGAGAGCAGAAAAAGCGCGCACGAGGCCGAAAAACGTGCACGGGGCACGGACGTCCGAAAGACGGCACGAGCCCGCCGGCCGGGGCCGCGCTTCCGCTTCGATTGTCTGCCGGGCTCGGCTCTCCGGGCCTCCCTCCTCCTCCGCCTCCTTCTGCTCCTTCTCCTCCTCCTCCTCCCCCTCCTCCTCACTCCTGCTCCTCCTCCTCCTCCTCCTCCTCCTCCTCCTCCTCCTCCTCCTACTCCTCCTCCTCCTGCAGCTCCTCTCCTCCTCCTCCTCACGGCCTGCTCCTCCTCACGCCGCCTCCTCCCTCCTCCTCCTCCCGCCTCCCCGCATCCTCCTCCTCCGCCTCCCTCCTCCCATCTCCTCCGCCGCCTCTCCTCCTCCTCCGCCTCCTCATCCTCCTTCCCTCCTCCTCCTCCTCCTCCTACCTCCTCTCCTCCTCCTCCTCCTCCTCCTCCTCCTCCCCCACTGCCCGACCCGCGTGGGAGCCAAAGGATCCGTGGGCGTCGTCGGGCCAGCGGAGCCGGGCGCGGACGGGCCGTGCTCGGCTAGGGTTCGCGCGGCAGTCGTCAGAGGATCAAAAACACACACAGACACAATGAACTGGTTCGCACTGTCGTGATATTAGAGGTCGGGACCCTCCAAGACAAGCCATTTCCAACACTCCCCCCGCGTGGGAAGCCCTCCAAAACACGTCCCCAGACCCCCCCAGGCCCTCCAAGATAGCCTGGAAGAGACCCCCCCCCCAAATGAGACCCCCCTCCCTTTATTACGAAATCTGGAGTAGTCGAAGGCCAGACTGTCAGATTGGATTGGGCCCCAAGGGCCAATCTGGCCTGGCCAAACTGGATGATTTGGGTCATTCGCCAGACTGGATTCGCGCTGGCTCCCTCGCCAGAGTGCCCCCGTTTGCCAGATTGGGCCTGCCAGATTGGCGCCGGATTGGCTTCGACTACCCAGATTAATCGTCGATCCCCAGGAAAATATAGGAAAATATGGGAAGTCGGGGGGGAAGACAAAGACCCCGAAGATGTGGGAAAGTAGGGGGAATCCTTTTATTTGTGTGTATTTATTTGTGTGTCCCAGGGCCCCTTCACTACAGTCGGGGCGCTGAAGAAGGATCCCTTTTGGTTGGGGAGGGGCTCCGCGTTCCTTGAGTGTTTCGCAGCTTGCCTCAGAGTTTTCCTTATGTTTCCGATGAGAAATCGAAGTTTAACGTATGGGAAAAAAAGGGGCCTCGTTCCTTCTTTAGGGTTCCTTAGGTCAACGCGCCGACCGTATTCGTTGGCGATCTGTTTTTGATCCGGTTCGGTTGCACGAGTCGATCCAGGTCAGGTGCGGGGGGGGGAGTTGGAGTGCACAGCGGCGTGGGCAAGCGCGCGGCAGGGGATGGTCACCAGATGTCCCGATCCCCCGCCACAGGTCTGACTTTGTGGCGGCGGCGCCACGCACGCATGGACAACTAGAAATACACAGATTCGGACGGGGATAGGACGAGGATAAATCCGTTCCAGACCGCTCTGAGAAGGCCACGGCGCCCGAGGTATTCTCCAGAGCCGCTGTATCTCAGAGATTCTCGACTTGTCAACCCCGGATTTTTTCCTCGTCCTAGATTCGTCTTGCATCTTCGCTTTGATCCCCTCTCGCACCATCCCCGCGGGAGGCAGGCTGACAGAGAAGCAGCTCTCGAGCCCGCAGAGAGCGGGAGTGACGGCGGGCCCCCCCCGAGGGGAACGACGAGCACGCAGGTCTCACAGCCGGTGGGTGCTCGGGGGCACGGCTTCGGCGAGCGTCGGCATCAGTCGCCGCAGTGTTCCTCGGCGGCGCGCGAGGGGGGGGAAGTGAGAAGGAGAAGGCTTTCTCAGAAGGCGGCGGGACTTCTCAGAAGCCCTCGCGCCTTATGAGAAGTGTTATGTGTCTTCGGGGAAGGCTTAGGAAGCGTCGCAGAAGGCTGGGGAACTTCGGAGCCTTCTGAGAAGGCCCGCCGCTTCTCACTTCCCCTCTTGGCGCGCTGCCTAGTTTCTTTTGGGGTGGTATTGGCCCCATTCGGGGAATTGGGCGGTTTGGGGATCTCGCCGAGGACCTCTGGGAGCCCACAGGACGCGAATGGCGCGAGGGGTGTGCCGAATGCATGCTCCGCTGCGCCATTTGGAGGGTCCAGCTGGGAGCCACGAAGTGCGCGAGGAGTGCGCCCAATTGAGGTTCCCTTGAGCCGTCTTGAGGAGCCAGCCGAGGGTCAGGGATGTGCCAGATTGAGGCTTCAGGAGTACGGAAGTGCCGATCCATCGTATATTTAGTCGTTGTCGGCTCGCCCGCCAGCGTGCTTGGGTTGTGGGTCAGAGGCCTTCGGGGTGCATATTCGAGTCTCTTGAGATGCCTCTCGGGGGGATCTTGGAGGGATCTGGGGGGAATCATGGAGGTCTTGCGGGCGCCCCGGGAGGGATCTTGGGGCCATCTTATGGTGGAGGGCTCGAAATGTCAGTTCGTGTTTTACCTGTTTGGGCGGTCTCGGG